AGGGAGATCGGACAGTGTAAGATATGACAAAACAGTAATTTATAAATTATCAAAGTTTCATGAGGGAGGGGGGAGCAGGGAGGGAGGGGAAAAATGAGGAGCTGAGGCCAGGGGCCTACGTGGAGAGCAAATGTTATGAGAATGATGAAGGCAATGAATGTACAAGTGTGCTTTACACAATTGATGTGTGCATGGATTGTGATAAGAGTTGTATGAGCCCCTAATAAAATGATTTAAAAATATTTAAATATACTTTAAAAATACTTATATAATACATATTTTTAAAAGAGTTTGTGTGAACTCTGGGGAGAGTGGAGTTCTTTTCTCCCAAAGCACACCCTTGAACTTCCATTTCACCCCTATTCCATGCTGTGGTCTGTTGGACCCCAAGTCCATCATAGGGCTCAGAGATCGGGAGCTATAGTCAGTTTGGACTGATGTGACCCAGAGACTGCCACGACCAATTTTTAGAGACCCTCATGCCTTCCCACAAGGAGCCTTGCAGTGGTGTCTAACCACAAGGTCAGCAGTTCAAAACTGCCAGTCACTCCACGGGACGAAAGATAGGGCTGTCTGTCCCCATAAATATTTACAGTCTCAGAAGCCCTATGTAGGGTGTCTGTGAGCTGGAATCGACTCCACAGCAGTGGGTTTGGGGTTTTGTATTTTTTTTGGGGGGGGGGTAGGGTTTTTGCTTTGTTTTTTTGTAGGCACTCCCACAACATTCCAGCAGGGTATGGAAATGGACAAATTACACGTATTCATTAAAAGGGATTGGCTGCACTCAGTGTGGATAATTTCTTTTTAAATGGTCTTTCAAATGCCAACAGCCACACTCAAAAGATAGCTAGCCTGAACCAGACCGCTACTACTGGTTTTGGCCCCCACACATGCGCAGAACAACTCAGCTGGCCTAAATAAATCAAAAAATCCTCCCTGCCCCTTGCTTAGTGCTTTGCAATCACAATCCATACATACATCAATTGTATAAAGCACATCTGTACATTCGTTACCCTCATCATTCTCAAAACATTTGCTCTCCACATAAGCCCCTGGCATCAGCTCCTCATTCCCCCCCACCTCCCTCCCTGATCATTTTATTGGGAGCTCTTACAGATATCATAATATTCCATAGTTCAATCACATCAAGCAGTATTGGACAATTGCTACCACAATCAGTTTCAAAACATTTCCTTTCTTCTTGAACGCCTTAATATCAGCTCTCCTTTA